TATTATGCCTCCCTTTTTTTTTTCGAGTAAAGGTTAAACGTTGAATCTAACAACGGTTGCTGCCACGTCAATTAAGTTCAAACTGCAGAAAACTGTTTATATTTTTTTGCAGGTGCGACTTTTGAAACTCCCAGATCAAATCACAACCAAACACAATTGTTTAGGATTAAAAAGTGTAATAAGGGACTTCTTTAGTTATTTGTATGGTAACCTAAAATGTTAGACTCGGGTGGTCCTGGTCCTGAATAGAATTCTTGACTCAACTTGTGACCTTCGAGAGGAATCCTAAAATCATTGATGTATGTTAAGGAACCCACGTTGAAAATAAAATGAATATTAATATGGTATCTTAAAGAACGCACGTTGAAAATAAAATGAATATTAATATGGTATCAGAGTCCAGAATGCTCAACGAACATTTGGTCAAAAAATGGAATACGGTCAAAATCGATGAACATGTTAAGGATCCCACATCTTCATGAATATTAATACAACAGTGGTGTGTTGGTGTGGAAGACATTGGCCGCAACTGTAATTTTTGTAAAACTTTAAATTAATATTAAAAAATATATTATTGAGAATAAATGTGATTTTTTTAAAGAAAATTGAAAATATCCTCTTAGTTTTGAAATTTGAAGGGTACATGTTCCGCTCGATTTTATCTCTCCCGCTCTCGTGACTGATTTTGGGAGTTGAGGATTTGATGAAAATTTTCTACTACTCTTTCTCTTTTTTGTCCAGTTAATTATTAAATAAAAATAAAATAATTGTTTTAATTTATGACTTAGAGAAATTTAGTTTGCTAACTTATTTCTTATGACTTGGAGTAATTCAATAAATCTAATATAAAAAATAATTTAATAAATAAATAAAAACTTTTAAAAAAATTAATAAAAAACAATTAAAAATTTTGTGATAAGATGTAAATCATTTTTTGAATTCACAGGAGTAATATTTTATTAAAACATATTTTTTAAAAAAATTATTAAAATAAAATCTAGACTTATCTTATGCACAAACAGATAATCTATGTGTGAAGTACGGAGGAGAGTGCTTGACTTGGAGCAATCTTCGATTTGGGAGTAAATTGTGGTCGTTACAATATGCAGCATGAATTTAGCTTAGCCATAATTGACATTTATTTTTTATCAAAAAGTCATGAGTTCAAATCCCCTTGTACTTTACAAAAATTTTATATCTTAAATCTCATTTAAAGAGGRAGGAAGGAAGAAAAAAGAAAAAAAAAAAAGTTTTTGACACGAAGAAAAAGTTGCTGAGCTCAATTTACCCCTAAAAAGGAAGATATTGACAGAAACGAAACAAGCATCCATCCATAAAAAACTTTATAAACAATTCTAATTACAGTTATATCTATTTATGTTTTGATTTATTATATATTTAAAAATTCAATTGAGATTATATTTTTTAAAATACAACTGTATGATTGATATATTTATTAGGCATGCCACGATAAATCGTTTTCTAAAATAGTTTTTTTTTTTTCAAATGAAAATAGTATTAATACTATATAAAAATGTTATTGCATATTAAGGTAAGTAAGGTAATTAATCTGTTTTGTTTTTTCTTTTAAGTAACTAATATGTTTGATGCATCACACGTTTTAAAATTGATTTCACATTATTAAATAAAAAAATATAACAATAAATATATAGATTATAAATGAAATAAATTTCGAACTAAATATAAAATTAGTATACATGTATTATATGTCTCAACTAATTACCTTAAATAAAATTAGTCTAAAAAAGAAAATAACAGCAGCATATAAAAGGGAAGGATAATTTGGAAGAAAAAAAAAATTCTGAAAGAACTATGATTGCTATATACAAAATTTGTTATAAATTTGGTCATTTGTGAAGTATTTACGTGAACTGAAAACAGCCTGTGAACTATAATTTAGGTAAAAATTAATATTAAAAAAATAATAAAAACAAGGTGTGAGATTTAAATCTAAAATTCAAGGGTTTATAATCGTACATCAACTACAAATATTGATATTTTGAGTTTATTAAGTGAAATAGTGAGAAAATAAATGCGATTTTTTAAAGAAAATTGAAAATATCCTTCTCGAGTTTTTTGTTTTTTGTTTTTTTTATTATTATTATTATTTTTTTATATCTATCCTTCTTGAGTTTTGAATTTTGAAGAGAAAATCATCTGCCTGGTATACGATTTTAATTCTCCCGCCAAATACGTTTCTTTTACAATTAATTTTTTTAGTACCTTTCCTTTACAATTAATTACTAAATAAAAATAAAATCATCATTTTAACTT